ACTTACAAATCAATTTCTTCTGAGGTTTACTTACACAGCACTGAACCACTGTTGAAAATTAAGCTCTTACAAAATCAACTGTGGCAATAACTCTGTACTAAAGGCAAAAAAATTATCTCAGCATTTTTCTTAACTGCTAACTAGTCTAGTTAGTATGCAAAGTTAACAACCTTGAAAAGTACGGTTAGCTTTGATTCTGAGCAGGCCAGAGAAATCTGCCTCAATTAAGTCAAATTGTGGTTGTGAACAAAGTAATCTCAAAGGTATCTTCTAGCCTTGAAAAACACAAATCAGACAGCTGCAATTTTCTTCAGTTCTCTCCTAAGGTAAATATTTTTTGAAGGAAGAAAGGAGAGGGTAGGAGACAAGAAGCGTGCTCCAAAGTCCTCCTACAACTTCATAGTATGTCAACTGAATTCAAGGCAACACATTTTAATGATCTAATATATAAACCATACCAAGATGAATTAAGAGGGTACTTGCTCACAAGAAGCTTTTCAGCTTGTATGGCAGGAGTCTCCCCAGGCCAAATTCTGCCCACTCCTCTGCCTGTGTCTGTAACATTTTATTGGAATACAGCCACACACTTTCATTTATGTATTGTCATGGCCACTTTCACAACATACAACTGCAGAGATGAGTGGCTGCAAGAGAGACCATCTGGCTTGCAAAACCTAAAATATTTACTATCTGGCCCTTTACAGAAAAGGTCTGCTGACCACTGGAACTGAAATAGAAAATAAAGACATATTTCCATCAACTCTTCCAAGTCAAAGAATGTTAGCACTAGAAAGAATTTTGAAGATCATTACAACGTTCCCATTTTATAAGCATGGAAGATAGTAAAAACCTTCTAAACAAGGCGAAAATGTTAATAATAGATTACATACTATGTGTTAGGTACTGTTCTAAGGGCTGCACATACATTATCTCACGTAATCCCCTCAACAAGCCTGTGAGGTAGACACTTCAGTACATTTTGCAGATGAAGAGACTGAGGCACACAGAGGTTAAGCGATTTACCCAAGGTTGCACAGCTAATACATGGTGATGCGAGAATTCAAAGCCATAGGTTGACTTCAGGGTCTATGATCTGATCTCCCTGCATAGGGCATGCACTAAATGAAGGAACAAACAACATTGTTATGTACAGAAAAACAAAGGCACAATTACTTTTCACTGAGGGATCAGTAAAGGCTTCGTGCAGGAAGAAGTGCTGGTCCCTTGTATTACCTTTCAACCTAATCTTTCCAGATCCCTGGAAACAATGACAAACAACACATAGCCACAAAAATTGAACAGAGTAAATTCACATGATACTGTAAGTTAGAAATATATTCATTTTGCTAGGTTTTTTTTTTTTTTTTTTTTTTGAGACAGTGTCTTGCTGTGTTGCCCAGGCTAGAGTGCAGTGGCCCAATCTCAGCTCACTGCAATGTCCACCTCCCGGGTTCAAGTGATTCTCCTGCCTTAGTCTCCAGCTACTCCTGAGTAGCTGGGATTACAGGTGTGTGTCACTACATCTAATTTTTGTATTTTTGGTAGAGATGGGGTTGTCATGTTGGCCAGGCTGGTCTTAAACTCCTGGCCTCATGTAATCCGCCTGCCTTTGGCCTCCCAAAGTACTGGGATTACAGTTATGAGCCACCAGGCCCATCTAATGTTATTTCTTCTAATCGCCACTATTAACATAAAGACAGATATCACAGGTGGCTTGAAGAAGTATAAAACATTATCCCTATGGTCAATGAGCTTATACTCTAGTCTAGATGTATTAAATAAAATTAAAAACTAATCGGTACAAAAAAAGTTGATGCTAGTACAAATGCTAAAATGTGGAAACAGGAAAATCACTGATCAATATATACACATATTTTCCAATCATTTCATAGAAAAATCCTCAATGCCTGCTTGGTTGGTTGTTGGGTTTTGACCATCAGAATCTACTCCCTCTCACTTTTGATAATTGTACTCCAGTTTTCCTCTTGATGAACCTGTCATGTCAATCAGTGGGGGCTGCATTGTTGGGTCCAAGAGTGGAAGATGCAACTATACTGTACCAACACAACCACTGTGTTCTACTTGCCATAGTGACTGATTTAAGAATAAGCAGGGTATCCAATGAGGCACAGTGAAACTTGTTAAAGCTCTAGGAGAGTGCTCCTTCTGACTACATTTAAACTAGGAAGAATATGAGGACCCGTATCAAAGATACACAAAGTCAGCGACTAAAGTGTTAAGGACAGACTGTATTCTGTTACTACTGCAATAGGGAAAAGGAGTCCAGAGTGAAATGCATTCACAGTCCCAGAGAACAAAAGGCTGGAGTATAAACGCTAAGGTGTGCTAAGGAAAAGGCACAGAGGGATGCTCAGGGGGCTTAGTCCACGTGACTAGGCCATCCTGATTTGCTAACTGGTGCTTATCCGGAAGAGAAACAATCTTCTATCTTTATGAAAGAAGGCAACTGAGCAAGTTGAAGCAAGGTGTCCACTGAACTTAGCCCCTTATCTTCCCAGAGGGACTAGGAAGGAGAATAAGAGTTATTTTCAAGAAAGCTCCCATTTCATTGAGACAGGGTTCTGGGGCTCTCAGGTCCTTGAGGAAACAGTTTTATGTGTTAGATTTACATCTCAAAGGGCAGAGAAAGTTTTTATAATTGCAAGCTTTCTAAACTAACTGTCTAAAGAGTTCAGGGGCCTATCACCAGGTTTTTCCTGAAACAATCAGGAAATTCTGGCAGCTTTGAGCCTCTTCAGGTAGGCATTTTAAGGGAATCTGACATCATCCTAAGTACATGGCCTTAAGCAGCTAGAAGCCATGACAGGGCTTGGTCGAGTCTCTTGGTGCAGAGGTTTGGAGCAAGTTATTACATACCCTGAGAGTTGAGCAGTTCCCAGTACAACCACCTTGAAGCTTTCTTCATAAAGTGTCTATCCATAAATAAGAAACTGAGGATTCTGGCAACAAAGTGCACCATCCTCTTAGCCTGCTTTACTTTTTCTTAAAAACATTTATCATCACCTGATACAACACATATTAATGTCCTTGTATACTGCATGTCTTTCCTTATTATAACATAAACTCTATGAGACTAAGGGCTGTCTCTACTGCTACTACACCTGGTATGGTACCTACAATAGTGCATGTTACATAGTAGGTAGGCAGTAAGTGTGCTGAATGAATGAATCATTTTTTTGTCCTTGAATCTGATTGTACCTGAAATAAGCCTTCCCCTCTCGTTAAGCTAGTTTGAAAGGGGTCTCCTGACATATACAACCTAAAGACTTAAAAATTGTATTGATAGTTTTGTTCTCAATTTACTGTAAATATGACTTTGAGCTCCAGTTCATTTCAAAAAATGCTATTTTACTTTGTTACTGCTGCCTGGATGCATCTACTTCTCTCAGTCCTTTTCAGTTTGTACCCTTTCTAAGAAGGAAAAAATATCCCACGGTCTGTGAGCTCCACAAAGACAAAAACTGTGTCCCAATCGTCTTGATATTCCCTTGGACATGTATAGCAGAAATTAGGGTTCCATAAATATCTACTGAATTGAACAAAATCCCCAGATCTTTCCCTATTTCTGCTTTGCACACTTCCTATTGCACTAGTGTTCTCTTCTCAGTGCTGGCTCATGTTTGCCTTGCTCCACCCAGGACTTCCTTTGGGTTGAAACATAAAGAAAACTGGTACATTTATACTTTTTTGGCATCTCTCTTTTTTAAACAAGACTGCTTAAATGAAAATGAAAATCATTTACCCATATATTCATAAGAGTAAGCAATTATAGGTTCAAAAAAAAGACGACTTCAGAAATAGTCATCTCTTTAAAAACCAAAACATCAAAAGGTTAGCATAAATTAATTTCCACGATAACGACACAATCAAATGTAATTAGGTTGAAGCTATATGCGTAAATTCATTCTTGGCACAGATTTTATCTCTTTTATGAATGACATCAGCTTGTAACTCCTGACCAATTTGGCAATGTTATCTAAATGATGCATAATTAAAACTGTCATTAGGGCAGGCAAGGTTCCAAAGGTATGATTAAATGATTTGTAAGTATTAATATATCATAAAACAACCAGCTGTATACCTTCCCTCTGGGTCTCACGTATTTATAAATGTAGGGAGCTTTCTAGATTGTGCTGACTCACAGGCAGATAGCTAGAGTATTTTTCAAAGGTTAGGAAAAAAATCTCCAAGCTGAGCTGGAAATTCAGCTCCGACACCCCGACACTCAACTCCATTCAGAAATCTTAAGCCTCCCTAATCGATCAGCACCAAGCAGTTATCAGAGGGCGAGCAACAGGGGAGCCTCAGTGGCCCCCGTTCAAAGGAGTTCACAGATTATCACACACGTTGCACGGGGGTGGCCTCCTTTACTTTTCCCCGTAAGGTCAACCAGGAGGAGGGGACGGTTGGGGAGGTGTAATCTCCCCCTTTTCGGATGATTCTCAGGGGCCCGGACAGGAACTGTCCCAGGTTATGACCGTTGGCAGCTACAGAACAAGGAAAGAGCTACAGCCCTTCCTCCTAGGCTCTCAGCCCGGCCCCAGGCACCCCGGATCTTGCACATCCCTGGCAAGAGCCATGGGCCCCTGCCAGGAGCGGTGGCCCCGGGGGCCCAGCCCTCCAGCAGCCCGGCTCCCTCTCCCGACCCCTGCCCAGGCCGCGCCGCCCACTCTCGCACATGCGCACCTCTGGAAGGCCCCTGAGTCCAGGGCCGCACGTAGGACCCAGCCAATGAGCGGGACACCCGCCAGGTGCTTAATGTTCTTCAGGGGGATGCCTTTGCTGCCTCCCCGGGCCAGAATTAGCGCTGCCAGGTGCGGGGGTTTCTCCACACCTCGGCCCTGGCCGCCGCGAGAGTTGCGCTGCAGCTTCGGCGGCCGGCCTCGGGACGGCCGCCCCCGCGGGTTGGAGACGGAGGTGGCGGCCCCCTTCTCCACCGAGTCCATCTTCCTCCCACGCCTTCTCCCCAGCTTCTCCACATCCGGGAGCTAGTCCCTCGCTACCTCAGCTCGGCGCCGCCCGATCCCCGCCTGGCAGCTGGCGCGCGCGGCCGTCCCTCGCTCCGCCCCTCGCGGGGTTCGCTGGGAATTGTAGTCCGTGGCCGCCTCCTCTGGGGCCAGTAGGCCAAGTAGGCTCTGATGAGGTGACCCCAAAACTAAGTCAAGCAGTGGGAATCCAGAGATGGTTGGAGGAAGTGCGGCTTTTGGGATGCTGGTAAGTCTCTGGAGATTTCTAAAATAAAAAAATAGAGTATTGAACTTCCTCACTTTAGAATTGTGGTGGGCTTCCTGTTGCTTACCTTGATGCACCCTAACACCAATCCATTTTATGTTAAAAAATGTACATTTAAAAAATAACACCTTGTTTTTAATGCCCCTGGGTCATTTTTTCCAAGAGATTACTGACCAGCTCATTCACATATCCTACGTACACCTTAAACTCGCCTTTTTAAAATCTCAATTTTTCATATGCGCTCAAACTGCTTTTATCTCTGCGCTGTGATCAACATCACCATTCCCTGGCAGCAGGAACTTGGAAGTCATCTTTATTGCTCACCTCTACTGTAGTGGACACTTGGTTCTTGGGTTTTGTTTTGTTGTCTGCTAAAAATGTTTTCCTTTTAGGAATTGATGCCGCATTCTCTGCACTGTAATAGTGAGTGTGTGACCCAAGCTGGTCCATATAAGCACCCCATCTTCCTGAATACAGCTGTGGTCTAGGGACACGCATATAACCAAGCAAAGCCCACTGGAGGCCTTTCTAGAGACTCTTGGAAAGAAAGGATCTTCTTGTGCTGACTTTTTGGGTGCTAAGGACCTTGTTAACCTGAAGCCTCAGGGAAAGGGTAGGGAATGGTGGCAGGGGGCCTTTCCTGTTATGAAATGGGCTGGGGGACTGATGTTCACCCAGAGGAAGCAGGACAAAGACATGTTAAAGAGAAAGAGCTCCGAAGACATCATTTAAATTCCTTCTTTCTTTTCTTTTGTTTCTTGATAGATTCTCACTCTGTTGCCTAGGAGGCTGGAGTGCAGTGGTGCAATCTCGGCTCACTGCAACCCTCTGCTGCCCACGCTCAACCATCCTGAGTAGCTGGGATTACAGATGTGCACCACCACAACCAGACAACTTCTGTATTTTTAGTAGAGATGGGGGTTTCACCATGTTGGCCAGGCTGGTCTGAAACTCCTGATCTCAAGTGATCTGCCCACTTCCACCTCTCAAGGTGCTAGGATTATAGGCATGAGCCACCACAGCCAACCATTTAAACCCTGATCCAGCCAAGAGGCTCAAAGACATACACCCACACACCTTTTTTTAAAAAAAGAAATAAAAAGTAGGCATTAAAGCAGGCATCTCTGACCTAGCATGCATTTTGTCTTTCAGCATGTCTGCAAGCCTATATTTGGAAATAGAGTCTTTTGCATTTGTGAGATGGAGGCTGATACAAACAGGAGGAATAGATTGTGGTGTATTGTCTTGCTTTCTAGAGGGCAAAAGGATTTTGTGCTTCTCAGATCTTGGGCATTTTTGAGGGGAGAGAAAAAGTCTTTGATGTTCTGGGTCTTAGGAGAGGTACTGGATAGTTCACATCTCTTAGTCTGTGAATTAACTGATGGCCCAGCCCTTCCTGTAACTGGTGCTGGGAGAAGGTGCTTATGCAGACACACAGAAGGGAAGCTGCGAACAGACATCAATGCCATGCCTAGGCAAGGGGCAGGCTCTATGATCCATTCCAGCACTGCAGGGCAAGGGCAGCTTGCCTTCATATACTGGCTCTTTGAGTAGTGCCTTTGCAGTTGCTGTGCTTCAGAGACACCAGTACTGAGCTTTTGGTAATCATGTGAGGACCCCTACTCCACCCCAATAACAATCTTAGTTCCTATTAATGATTTAGTTGCCATTCTCCACAGTAATTCCCCACAGGCCCATAAATCCTGGTGGGCCACAGACACCTGAATGTTTTGACTCCTGGGACACATTGGTGTCCTCTAAGCTGAGAACAGAGCAGGTGGCACCACTGTTACTTATCAAATGAGGTTACGGTGATTTATATAAATTCCAGGAGACTGAACTCTTCAAGGAGAGGGACTGTCCCTTTGTAATCTCATCCAGAACAATGCATGAGTCACAGTACTGCTCAGTAAACAGTGGTGAGTTGCATCTCGTATTATTTTTTCAGTCTATGCCCACACATGCTTTCTTTAATACAGTTGCAAACTTGTGATAATAAAGCATTTTGTATCCTTTGTATGGTTACAGCACAATTATTTTTTGACATGACAATTGGCTAATACCAATCTTGAGAGAAGGAGACAAAGGAAGAGACAGGGGTGGTGGTAGTAAAAGTGGAAGATGATGCATCTAGTTCAGTATATCGCGCATAGAAATTTCATGAATTTTTAAAAATGAAATTAGAGTATATTCATTTGCACTATATTTATTTAGACCAAGGAGAGAATGATTGTTCAAGGAAGAGGAAGAGGATGTGTTATGTTGTCTTTTTCTTTGGATTGCTTTTGAGGAATAAAATAAACTACTCTCAAAGCAAATATTCAGTCATCTTTCCTTTAAAGATCGGTATGAAGTGTCGCTGCTGAAGAAGAATTCCTATTTATTGTGAAAGAATATATTCTTATATTATCTCTTGTTTTATGATTTTGCAAGTGAATAAACTCTGTGCACAGAGTTTTTCTTATTCATTTGTTCACATTTACTGCATTCCGAGAGCCAGGCTCTGTGCTACACATTAGAAATAACCAAACCAAGAGGCAAAAGGCAGCAAGCTTAGGATTATGACAGGGAGACAGGCACGCCCCAGTAGAGTGTGGTTTGTGCTGTGAAAGAGTATACATGAGGTAGGCAGCACAGAGGGAGGTATTTTGGCTAGAATAAGATTTTTCTTGGCTGAGATGACTCTTGAAAGACTGTTAAAGTGTAAAAAAGACCTCAGCTGAGGAAATGGCATTGTCCAAGGTGTAGAGAAATAAAACTGCATGATGATTTGGGAAACTTGAAGTGGGTCACTATGATTGAAGCAGAAGATACTGGTTGGTTAGTGGCAAAAGATGAAAATAGAGAGGAAGGCGTGGGCCAGATTAGAGCACATAAAGACCTTAAGTGTTCAGCTTTGTTAAGGATGTTACAGATAGGAGGGATATAATTTGATTCATGCCATTCTTTTAACAAATTGTTATTGCATGACAATTGTGTCAGGCACTTTTCTGGGCACTGAAAATATACTGACGTGATGAAAAGTGCTCAAATTCTGGATATATCTTAAAAGTACAGGTAGTAGGATTTTCTGGCAGACTAGGTGAAAGGTGAGAGAAAGAGGAAAAATGGTGTGATAACAGGATCTTTGGCTTGACTGTCAGCAGGAGGGAGTTGCTGTTAACTGAAATGGAAAAGATAAGAAGGACTAAGTTTTGGAGGCAAAGTTATGAATTCTGTTTTATAAATGCCATGTATGAAATATCTATTCAATATCCAAATGGGAAATAAAAAGTGGACTATTGAATTTGTTAGCTTAACGTTCATAGGAGGGGTCTAGGATATAAATATAGCTTTGGAGTCATCAGCATGTACGTACTATTTTCAGCCACAGGACTAGATGAGAATGAGAGGTGATGGTAGATAGAAAAGAGAAGAAACTAGATGAGATCGGCTAAGATTTAAAAGTGAGCAGAAGAGATAACAAGTCCAAAGACTGTGCCCTGGGGCTAACACTTAGAGCTTAAGAAAATGAGAAGATGGAAAAGAGACTGAGACAGAATGCAAAACAGAAGCGAATATTGTAGCCTGAAATCTATGTGAATAAAAGTGTTGGAAGGAAAAGTGCTCAATTATATCAAATGCTGTGATTGTCATTGTGAAAGTTATCAATACCAAAATGAAGTTGCTTATGTCTAACCCTGAGATAATAGAGCCAGGAGGCCATGAGGGAGTGGCACTCATGCACTATGCTTCCACCAAAAAAATACAACAGGCCATTTTTTCAAAGTGTGGTTTGCTACATGAGTCAAACAAGGAGAGCTAGCAGCACAGAGACAGCTAGCCGAACAAGGGCAGCTAGCTGCTTATACAAGAACACTTGCCTGACTATCTAACTAATAAACAGATGTCAATTCCTGCCATAAGTCTCTGTAACCAATGTTTTCTGTTTCGAAACAACTTGCAGATACTTTTGTCTCTTTTGTCTTTAGAACTTTACCCTTACTGCAACCTTGAATGTGCCTATGATCCACGATTATGTACATGTCCTGACTTGTAATTCTTCCCTAATCCCAAATAAGCTTTCTTTTGACACTCATTTAATCCTTCGACTTATATCCCTATTCTCCTTTTTCTTTACAACAAAACTCTTTAGTTACCTATAATCTTGATCTCCACATTCTCTCCTCCCATTCCTCCTCTCATTCCTTCCTTAATCCATTCTAATCAGGGTTTTTTGTTTTTTGTTTTTTTGCCAACACGAAACCAGTGGACTTACTTTTCTTAAGATCAACAGTGAGTCCACATTCTTAAACACAGCACATGACAATATATTCTTTCTCTTACAGGATGTCAACCTAAAAAGGACAATATATTCTTCTTCTTACATGTCGTCAATCTAAAAAGGAAGAATATATTGTCATGTGTTATTGTATTTAGAAATGTGGACTCACTGTGGATCTTAATAGAAAGTCCACTAGTTTTGTGGTGGATAAAGGAGGAAATAGGAGGAGGGAATGAGAAGAGAGAATGTGGAGATCATGAGTACAGACAACTAAAGAGTTTTGGTGAAAAGAAAAAAGAGGAAAGGAACAGTAGTTGAAGGATTAAATGAGTGTCAAAGAGACGGAGTTTCGCTCTTGTTACCCAGGCTGGAGTGCAATGGCGCAATCTTGGCTCACCGCAACCTCTGCCTCCCGGGTTCAAGCAATTCTCCTGCCTCAGCCTCCCGAGTAGCTGGGACTACAGGCATGCGCCACCATGCCCAGCTAATTTTTGTATTTTTAGTAGAGATGGGGTTTCACCTTTGACAAGGATGGTCTCGATCTCTTGACCTCATGATCCACCCGCCTTGGCCTCCCAAGAGTTGTTTTTTTTCTTTAAGAGGTGGGAAATAATACTAGCTTTGTGTGTTAATAAAAGTAATCCAGTAGAAAGGAGAAAATTAATGATACAGAGAAGAGAGAGAAGAACTGCTGTAGCAATTTCCTTGATTAGATCAT